GGGCGAACGAGTTCTCCAGACTTCTTTCGAACCATCGGAGGCTTCATCATGAGATCCTCATCCGATTCTTCTTCCGAACCCGGTGAGTGAGGTCTCCGAAGACTTCGATATCATAACCTTGGGTTCGGTAGCAGAGCGAGTGTGTGTTCGCCTCCTTCCGCCCGCGAGGTCGGGGGTGCTGAAGCTGTGGACAATGTTGTTGCTCGAGATGACTTCGGGCCTGGAGATCTCCACTGCGGCCGTCTTTGGCGGTGGCGAGGGTGCCCTGCGAACAGGGATTTGGCTGATCGCATCTTGCAGTTCCTTCAGGTTGTGAAGCTGGCGTCCGCGCTGCGTGCCTTCCTCGTCCTCGCTTGCCGAGTCCGGAGGCGAGATGACAGCACCGTTAGGCATACCACTCTCGTTGGTTACCGGCGGTGGCGATTGTCGGACACTGGTCGTAGCGAGAGTCTTGACGTTGTCTGTGGCACCGACTGGTACCTTGTCGTTGGTGGCGCCATTTCCTCCGCCCAGAGCCGACGGTGTGCTGCGTCGGTTCTTCGTCAAATAGGAAGCGGACCTTGGTAGTGACGGTCTAGGGCTGCTCTGAAAAGAGGGCCGTCGACTTACATCAGGCGACGAGGGGGCGGAGTTGGCGGGGGATCGACTATGAGAGGGGGGCGTGTAAGGCATCCCAGCAGTCAGGGTGCCTTGGGAGAGTGGTAGTAAGATGCAGGTTCGTAAGAGACCGCGAAAGGTGGTCTAGCACTCCGACACGGGTAGAGCTACCTAATTGCAAGAGAGTAGCCCTTGGATGGTTGACTTGAAGAAGCAAACCGAGGAGGGTATCAATTCATGGGGTATTAGGATATTTGTGAGGCGGGTCGTGAACAGACTCGTCGCTCGAGATTAGGATATAGAGAGAGCTGGAAGTTTCGAGTCAGCTCACTGGAGGCCATATGGCAGTTGTATCAAGGATGACAAAGGAAAGCGCGTTGGATGCATTGGCATGAGGTGACGACAAAAGGAAGCAAAGGGGAAAAAAATAGATGGTAGTAGAATGGGCTGTCAAGTAAAACAGTATCAAGAAGCGAGTATTCGAAGGTTCAAGACGGCAAGGAACATATGAAAAAAAAATTAGGCAGGTGGAACAAGAGCCCTGCGATTCATGGGTGGATGTTGCGGGGGAGGCGGCTCGACGCTGGGTTTTATTGCTTCTTTGTATGCCGTCGTCGTCGTCTTGGGGAAGGGGGGAATGGTGGCAGCATCAAAACTCACCTGACAACGGGTACCGGGGGAGCAACGGGAGAGGGCCGTGGCAGCGAGAGTCGAACAAGGGCAATATTCCAGCAACCTTGCAAAGCTCGCGTGTTTGGGGAGGCCGAGGAATGTCAGGGACGAGGCGCGAGAAAGCGAGAGATCTCCCCACGGAAAACGCTCGTGACGTCTGGCGGG